GGACCCTCACCTGCTCCAGTCATTCATCTCCCACGACACCACCAAGTCTCTATGGGAAGCACTCAGCAATGTATACGGTAACATATCGAATGTGAGTCGAATTTTTGAATTAAAGAGACGTCTCTTTCACCTTCAACAGAATGATCATCCCTTCAACAAGATTCAAGGAGAATTTTGTGCCTTATGGGCTGAGTTGGAAGAGATCCGACCAACCTCCACTGATCCGAAGACAATAATGGAGAGAGCCGATGAAGACAAAGTGTTTTCGATTCTTTCAACGCTTAATCCTTCCTTCAACGACCTAATCTATCATGTTCTCCGTCAAACCAAGCTGCCCACGTTTGATGAGTTGTGCATGATGATAAAAAGGGAAGAAGGTGGTCGAAATTATTTCGCCGGACCCATGGAACTCGCCCATTATGCCCAGAAGACGCCGGGACAATCTGCTCCACATAAAGACCGTAAGTCTTTCTATTGTGATCATTGTAAAAGGCAGGGACACTCCCGGGAACGTTGTTGGATACTTAATCCACATCTCAAACCGTCACGCTACAAGGATGCTCCTCGTCGAGGTACGGCAATGACGGCTCATCACGAACAAGCACCTACAGACAGTGCCATTAGTCTTACCTCCGACGAGTTGAAGGGACTTAAACATCTTCTTCAGTCTCTCAACAAGGAAACTGGTAACTTTTCGACCCATTCTTCAATTATTATAGATTCAGGTGCAACCACCCATATGTTTTGTGATTCTCAATGGTTCGACCATATATATCCAAGTCATGGAGTAGTTTTGGTTGCCAATGGTAAGAATGTTCCCATCCGCGGTTGTGGTAAAATTCGTCTTTTTGATCGGGATATCACAGGTTTGTTTATTCCCGAATTTCATGCTAACCTACTTTCTATTCCAAAGCTTGTTGAAGAAACTAATTGTCAAGTTATCTTCGATACTAATGGTGTTTCCTTTCAGGATACTAGCTCGGATCGTATCTTTGGTCGAGGAAAACGCAAGGGCAATCTATATTACCTCGATGATACGCATTCAAGTTTTTTATCGATTTCGTCAAATGTGTGGCACGCTCGCTTGGGCCATCCACATGCTAAAGTGTGTCGTTTATTAATTCCGCATGTTAAACCTTTTGATTCTCATTGTGACGCTTGTACGTTGGGAAAACACTGTCGAACGGTTTTTATGGATTCTTCTACTATCTATAATAATGTTTTTGATTTAGTCCATTCGGATGTATGGACTGCTCCATGTTATTCACGCGACAATTATAAATATTTTGTGACATTTATTGATGAGAAATCCAAATACACTTGGATAACACCGTTGAAGCTTAAGAGTGATGTATTTTGTGCTACAAAACATTTTATTGCCTATATTTCTAACCAATTCAATGTCAAGGTCAAGTGCTTACGGACGGACAACGGTGGGGAATATACGAGCTTCCGCTTTCGAGATTATCTTCTTCAAGAGGGGATACTTCACCAACGCTCGTGTCCGAACACACCTCAACAAAATGGTGTTGCGGAGCGCAAGAACCGACACTTGATGGAGGTGGCTCGGACACTCATATTCCACCGAAATGTACCAAAGCGATTTTGGTGTGATGCGGTCAAGGCCGCGTGCTACATCATCAACCGACTACCGACACAAGTTCTCGGGGATAAATCTCCTTTCGAGGTATTGTTTAACCGTCGAGATAATCTTGATCATCTACGCGTATTTGGTTGTATTTGTTTCTCTCACGTAGATGAAGGGCAAAGAACCAAACTCGACCCGAGAAGTGCTCGATGTGTCTTCCTTGGATACCCGGCAAATCAAAAGGGTTACATGTGTTATCACCCTCCAAGCCGACGTATCTTCACTTCCCGAGATGTTCGTTTCATTGAAGAAATCGGATATTTCGATGAGACAAATTGGTCGGCTTTGGAATCGCTTGCAACGCAAGGTACCGATTCTAATTATGATGTTATCTCTCAATTGCAAACAACTCTTCGTCGCCTAGGTGTACACACACCGACAAACAAAACAACACCTTCATCCTCTACATTGGAAGAATCCCAAGATTTACACGCGAATGGTATTCCTCCTCTCTCCTTGGCTTCTTTGAATATTTCCTTTCCCACTAACATTGCAGGTTCACTTGAGCAAGACACGTCACAGGAGATCCATGACTCACAAGAGATCGATGCCTTGTCTGAGGGGGAACTCCCCTCTCCTACCGACACGTCACACCAACATGATGCATCCATAAACCACACTCTATACTTGTATCCTCTATCGTCGAACATGGAAGAGCAAAACACTCATGATGTGCATGCTGAGTTGGACCACATGCCACATGTTTCCATGCACGATCCACCTGATCAGATTTTAGCCCCTCCTGACGTGGAGCTCCGACGTAGCAATCGGAACCGCCGCCCGACGTGGAAGGTCAAGGAACAAATGCATGGCTCTCACACTGCCATTGCCAATCCTATCGATAAGTATTCGTCTCTTGATCATTTTCCTGCTAATGAAAGAAGTTTTTTAAGTATCATAGAACAGGGAATCGAACCTTCTTCATACACTCAAGCTAAATCCGAAGAAGTATGGCGACGAGCAATGGAAGAAGAGCTTTCGGCACTCGAAAAGAATCGGACATGGGACATCACAACATTACCACCTGGAAAACAAATTGTTGGCTGTAAGTGGATATATAAAATAAAATACCAAAGCAATGGCGAGATTGATCGTTATAAAGCCCGTCTCGTCGCCAAAGGATACACCCAAACCTATGGAGAAGACTACACAGAAACCTTTGCACCGGTGGCAAAACTCCCTACGGTACGCGTCCTTTTATCTTTGGCTGTAAATCTTCATTGGCAATTATGGCAGATGGATGTCAAGAACGCCTTTCTACAAGGTGATCTTGATGAGGAGATCTTCATGAAACCGCCTCCTGGTTATATTCGGACAAAACCAGGCGAAGTTTGCCGTCTTCGCAAATCTATTTTGGCTTGAAACAATCCCCAAGGGCGTGGTATCATAAACTATATCAAGCTCTCATCGATCGTGGCTTTACAAGAAGTGAATCGGATCACTCACTCTTCACGATGAACGGTAACTCGGTTATCATTGTTCTTCTCGTATATGTTGATGACATTATTCTTTCAGGGAATGACGTGGACGGTATAAGTGCTACGAAGCAATATTTACAAAATGTTTTTGATATTAAGGATCTAGGTTTATTAAAATATTTTCTTGGAATTGAAGTAACACGTATTACTAACGGATTATTCTTGTCCCAAAGAAAGTATACTCTTGATCTGTTGCGAGATACAGGAAAACTAGGAGCTAAACCGGTGCGCACACCAATTGAGGAGCATTTCAAAGATCACCAAGAGGGGGAACCATATCAAGATCCGGAGCAATATCGTCGTGTCGTCGGTAAGTTGATTTATCTTACTATTACTCGACCTGATATAAGTTTTGCTGTGTACCAGGTTAGTCAATGGATGCACGCTCCAAGAATGGATCATTGGCACATGGTGGACCGAATCTTGAAATATCTAAAAGGAACACCGAACAAGGGCATGAGGATGGACGACAATAGGCACACTTGGATCGTGGCATACTGTGACGCTGATTGGGCCGGTGATAGGACGGATCGCAAGTCAACAACGGGATTTTGTACTTTCATTGGTGGCAATCTCGTCACTTGGAGGAGCAAGAAGCAAACAGTTGTAGCTCGGTCAAGCGCAGAAGCGGAATACCGAGTGATGGCAAATACAACAAGCGAGGTCGTGTGGTTGAGACAACTTCTACATGACCCTGCCTGATTTTGTAAATGGAAAGCAGGCGCTAGTTGGGCCTAATTGGGCCTTTTAAGAAAATGTTAACGACATTTACAGGCCCATAGGCTCAATATTGTCATTCCATTTTAGTTTCGGTCATGACGCGCCTAAAACGCGCGTGTATCGCGAGAAGTTGATTGTCATTTCGTTCGCGAGAAGATCACACTCGGAGTCATCTCTCCAATGTATACTCGGAGTCAAGATCAACTCGCTGACATCTTGACCAAGGCAACAAGCTCTTATGTTCTTAATCATTGTCTCTCCAAGATTGGCCTTGTCGAAATTGACCAGCCAATCTTGAGGGGGAATGTTGGAGAACTCGGTAACTTGAGCAAGAAGGCACAATCGGACATACACTTGAAGGACAACTCGGACACGCACTCGAAGGACAACTTGGAAACACACATACACTCTCGGCCTGAAGACTTATGGCAAGCGAATAATCCAGCAACTCAATCAACTCCTAAATCTGGAAACATGCAAGGATAATTGATATATTTCCATTTATCAAAGCATGATATATTCCTTTACCATGTATAGCCTTTTGTATAATCGTTTGTCACTTTGTATATATTTTAGACAGTACAATGGTGAAAATACAAGAGAGAACATCTTTCTCAAAACCTCTTCTAGACCTAACGCATCTCTTTATCTCTCGGGTCTCTTAGAACAAGACCGAGCTCTCTTTGTTACTTTGTTCTTACGTTTCAATTCTACAAAACCATAGTATTCTACATGGATTAGATATGCAGGGTTTTGTCCTAACGGCGGAAAACCCAGACGGAGAAAAGTGCTAAATAGAGCAACGGAGGAAAGCAGATTTAACCGAAAACCAAAAGGGATTTCAGATTAAGAGAAACCCATTTACTCGAAACAAAACCTATTTGAAGAAAAGAACAAATTTTCCCAACAAAGGAGTGAAAAGGCTGAAACTTTGGCCTGGTGATGAAGAGTGAGAAGTTTGAGCACGGGCTTAAAACTTGGACAAGAAAACATAAACCCAGAAAAAAAGATCAAAGCTAAAACGGCAGAAGGTGGGATCCAACATGAAAAGATTGGAACTTTTTTTTAGTTGGGAAGAAGAAGAAGGGAAAGAAACACAACTCATTGAGATAAAAACAGAGCAAATGGAGATTTTCAGACAAGAAGAAACTCACTGTCTGACGAATCTGTGGCGCCATGGATGAACCTTGGCTCCAATCCTACAATGCAGAGTATCAGCAGAGCCACCACCGCCACCCGTTTCTTCCTCATCTTCTTCTCCCTCTTCTCTCTCTCTCTCTAAAACCAGATGGATGAGAAAACCCAGTGCCGAAAAATGTTTTTTTTTTAACCAGAAATATCTGATTTTTGGCTTTTGAAATTTCTATCATTTATTATATAAATGATAAATTTTCTTAGCTAAATTATTTTCCTTTTTAATGCTTCCATAAAAGAATTTGTTCTTGGTTGGTGTCACCATATAAGGTTAAAGCCTTCATAAGGTTGGTAATTGTTCAAATAATTTATATTTCGATTTAAATTTTAGCTTAGAGATTATCTCATTTTGTCAAGATAAAAGAGAAACCCTTTTTCATGTGTTAAATATCAATTTGCTAAAGTTTGTTAATCGTAGCTTTCATACGGTTGAAATCGTTACGGTCGGTTCTTTACATCACCCATCCTTTCTTTGCAGAATTAATTAGTCAACTACTGTTTCACATTTGCATAAAAGGAAAGAGATAAATTCAAAAAGTGAATTCCTTTTTACAGCAGTATATTTATATATATATATATATATACACACGCCCACATGTATATATATATATACAGAACCAACATATTTTTGACTGCTAGCTCCACGTACAGACAAAATTAGAGTGACATTATATACATTACAACATTTATATATCCCTTCATAAAAAGCATTCATGCGTGTATATATATATATATATATATATATTAACAGCATATCAGGATGACGAAATAAGTTTTTTACATTTATTTTATAAAAATATAAAATTACGAAAATTAAATAAAAAAGAAAGAAAAATAAAAAACCAGATTTTACTTTATTGTTATACCTCTTCTTCTCTTTTTTTTTTACATTTATAATAAAAAATAATTTACATATTTATTAAAAAAATTAATAAAAAGATAAAAAAAATTATAAATATAACAAAAATAAATATGATACGCAATATTTAACATAATATTGTATTTTTATCATTGAAAATAATATCTCAAAATCTATATTTTCAAAATCTATTATTTATTTTTTTATTTCAACATTCCTCTCAAGAATAAATTTGAAAGAATGCAAAAGTCAATCTTGAAAAGATAATACAATAAAAATCTATAAATATTTTCATTGTCTTTAGAAAAATCCATAAACACCAAATTTAGTTCTTTTAAAAAGTATTATCCATTTTTAAATCACTTCGTTTAATTTTGAAGTTCTACCCTAACTCTTTTTGTCATATCACTTTGTTTGATATTAGAGTTTTTAGGTTTGACTTTTTTTTTGTCACAACTCGTTTGATTTTGGGTCTTTACTTCTCTTTGAACGGTTTGGATACACGAACATTCAAAATTCGAAAAAGAAAAGATTGAAAAAAAATATATATATAGAATAGGTTAAACCACTCTCATACATGTAGAAATATAAAATTACAGAAATTAAATAAGAAAGAATGATAAATAAAAAAAGAACGGAATTACTTTATTGTTCAATCTCTTTTTCTTCTTGTTACGTTATAATGAAAATAACTCATATATTTATAAAAAAATAAAAAAAAATATAGATATAACGGAAATAAATATGATATTGTGTTACTTATTATTAAAGATAATATCTCAAAATCTATATTAAGTATTCTTATTGAATATTAGAAAGTAAGTCAGATATCATTCTCATGTAATTGTTACAGAAATTTCAAATTGGTATGATTTGCATATAAATTTAGGCTTGTTCACAAAAAAGTTTAAGAGTCATCCAATGTAACATAATTCGATATCATCGATTTAGGATAAATTAAATAATCATTGATAAAAACGTGTTAGTTGTTAGACGAGCTAATATTTTTGTACATTAATTGTGGACTTTGATTATGTCCATGCGCAGGGTGGTCATTCGGTTCCATTATTTCAATTATTAACTTAACCGAATAAAGATATTTTGGTTATTAATCTAATAGTTCACCCACTTCTAAATGTAAGCAATCTTAATTTTTTTCCTATATATGGACCGTTTGGACAAACCAAAACATTAAAATATATGTATAGATGCCAAGATTTTACACTTACTATTCTACACATTCGACATGCTTTTTCAATTAATATTATCGGTACAAAAATTCAAAATTGAAAATAATACTCAAAACATGTTTTATGGGTGTTGAACTAAGTTTCTTCACAACCCTAGAATTGGCAGTTATTATATATTTTTCGGATTACAGTTGCATAATTAATAATTAATATTCATTAAAATTATATATTTTGAAATTCAAATATTATTTTTTTTTGCATAATTCTAAACCAATTAAAATGTATATTGTTTACTTTACATAATCTATAACTTGTTCATATAACAAATCATTATTTTTTTTCCCTTATATAAATCGGGTAACAGTCAATGATCGTGCCTTTTCTTTTTAAAATTTTGGTAGATGAATTGAACTTGGAATTGTAAAATGCCAACGAGAGAGGATGTGACGTGGATCTTGGATCTTGGATTATGTATCATTCTATTTTTTTTAGTAATATACATTTAAAAAATGCATTTTGTACTTTTAATGCGATCTTTTTTTCAAGTTATTGTCTATGAACTCCGTGAGGTTTAAAAAAGAATAAAACATAATTACCCAATTGTGTCTCATTGGACTTGCAATCTTATATTCATGGTCGGCTCTGTCTTATTCTTCATTACCAAAAAAAAAATTAATTAAAACATTTCTTTATCTCTTCTCATTTTTATTTTTTATGTTCGGATAAATCTTATTAAACTAAGAACTGGAATCAGTATAGATCATGGATCTTGCTCCATATATATAACTTCATTGGTACCTCCAGAAAAATAAAAATAGAAATTACGTTTCTACGTGAAAAATTAATTAAAACAAAAACCCTTCGAGGACTTGAAAGAGAGCACCATTTCTTACATGACATTGATCTCCACTGTTATGTCTGTCCAGAGATGGCGGCCGGAGCTCCATCGATGGACAAGTCTCTCTCTTTTCTTGGATGCAAACCCACAAAACAAAACCCAAAAAGGATTGATTGTTCAATCCTTTAGGCAAAAAAAAAAAAAAAACCCCCGAACAAAGGTTTGGATAAGGATTTTGCACCAAAAAGAGAAACATGATCATTTGGAGAGGATTGGATGTCTATGCAGCTAAAAACACCAAGGAGAGCTTCAAAACGTTAATGGAGGTTTCAAGAGCAAGAGACTTGAATATATATATATATATATATATATATATATATATATGGGATATATCTGAATTATTTAGAGGATATTGGAGAAAAAGGCCCTTAATTAGTCGTCGCCATGGACGTACCAGCACACGAGCATGGTGGCGCAGCGACGGAGGATATAGAGACGGGCACGTTGCTCCTTCACCAAGGAAGCACATTTGTTGGTGAAGGAGTTGCCATTTTTGAACTTTCTCTTGAGTTCAGCCATGGCGACCATTAGGGTTTTCAAGCGTGTATATATGTGAACGAAAAGGTTGAAAATTTTGTGAAAATGTTGAGACTTTGGAGGGAAAAAAAACCTTTTTTTAGTGTACGAGAAGAGGTGGTGATGGTGATTAAGTGATTGAAGATTATATATACAGAGAGAGAAGAGAATGATGAAGAGAAATCTCAAAGATTACATAGAGAGAGAGAAAAATGCATGAAGTGATGAGGACAAATGAACATGGTTCAGATTTTTGGTTTCACGACATTGGGATTTGCATGAGTTGCATTTAATTTGGTCATCGAGGGAAGTGTAGTTTCTTGATATCATTAAATCGGATTCGAAATCTTTATTATATCTTTATTATAAAGTATTCTAGACGATATCTTACATATAGTAATAGTATGTATACATGTACGTATATGTTAGAAGCAGAGTGGTTGACTTTAACTTCTGTTTTGTCCGAGCCAAATAATATGAAGTTTTTGAGTCGATATCAAATTTGAAATGTTCTGGTTCAGTTCGGTTCGATCCCTTCTATATTCAAACCGAGAATATCAAATTTGGATTCGATTTGAATCGAGGATATCAAATTTGGATTCGGTTTGAATATAAAACAGATCGAACCGAATCAAAGCAAAACTTCTCTATAATATTACAAAATTTATATTTTATTGAAAAAATAACAAATAAATACCTAAACTTTTATAAAAATCCTATATAAATATCTAGACTTTTGAAAAAATTTCCAAATAAATACAAATTTTTGATATTTTTAAATAAAAATAGGTGATGTCATTAACGGATTTTAGGTTTATCTGGGTTTTTTTATAAAAATTTAGTTATTTATATGCGATTTTTTCTTTTTTATTTGGATTCGATCATGTTATAAATATTTTATCTACCACCCTATAAAACCAATACAAAACTTATGATTTCATTATCATTATTGAAATTACGAATGAAGTTAAATTATTCAAACAACAGTATTTTACTACGTTTTAATATGTTTAGTATAACGATTTCTAAAATGTGTAATTTTTTCAAATAAAACATGAATTAAAAAGATTCATGGACTATCATGCCCACCCTCAAAGATATCAATATTTATTGTAACAGTACCATATATGATATTTAAGAGATATATTATCCCTTTAATTAGAGTGACTAGATATAATATATGTGTGCATTATTATGCATTCCATATACCGTAATTGAATAATCGTGTGTACACATCTGTCATGTTCTACTGTCGGCCTAACGTTTTGTAGGGACCTAAGTTTTTCATGTGATATCTTTAATAACCCTCTCGGTAATTGATAAACCTTTAGATGTCGGAAAGCTTCATTTCATGTTCATGTAACGCGCATAGAAATATTCCTTACGAAAATATATTCTTGAATTTTCGCGTTTGGTTTTTTCATGGACATGGGTGTCTCTGGATTTAATCCTTTATAGTGTATATATAAACTTATCACTAATCTAATGCATTCCAACCACACATGTATAATATTTGTATTTGTATACACATGTATTCTACAAAGGGTATATATATATATATATATAGTTCGAAAATTTTATGTATATATGTAAAAGCATGCGTACATATATACATATATATATATACACACACACACAAGGAAATATGAAAAGGAAAAATGATCGTGCCTTTTCTTTTTAAAATTTTGGTAGATGAATTGAACTTGGAATTGTAAAATGCCAACGAGAGAGGATGTGACGTGGATCTTGGATCTTGGATTATGTATCATTCTATTTTTTTTAGTAATATACATTTAAAAAATGCATTTTGTACTTTTAATGCGATCTTTTTTTCAAGTTATTGTCTATGAACTCCGTGAGGTTTAAAAAAGAATAAAACATAATTACCCAATTGTGTCTCATTGGACTTGCAATCTTATATTCATGGTCGGCTCTGTCTTAATTGGGATTATGGGAACATGCAACCGGCAAGATAGGCTTCGGTTTCTCCACTTGAGAGGTTTGTGTGGTTGGCTTTCTCTTTATTTCAATTTTATTTTCTTTCTTATCTCATTTTAAACCTCTAAACTTAAATTAAATTATGAAACAACAAAACCCAAATCAAGATATGACTATTTCTTTATATATATATATATATATATATATATGTATGTATGTATGCATATGTATATAATCCTTGTTGGGGTTTTACAGCTTGTAGAATAAAATCATCCTCCTGATTTTCTCGCCATTTTTCTATTGAGTTCTTCATCACTTACAGTATCAGACTAAAGATCACAGAAGATATGGATCGTATAAAATTTTGGATCATGAATAAAGGATAACATACAAAGGCTTTTTATAGTAATATGCATGAATTGGCATTAAAAATATATGGAAAAAATGGTTGTGACAATAAAACCAACTTCCTTTGTGGCGTCTAGACCCAGAAGAAACCTCAGACGCAATGTGTTGTCCTAATTCCTAAAGTGAAATTCTATTTTGAAAATACATTTACTTATAAAACTTAATCATATTTTGGATTAATATAATACTATTAATCATATTTGGGTATTATACAACAAATATATATTGAAAGCGACCCAAATTTACTGACTTGGGTTCCATCCAATCCCAATACTGTAATGGGCTTTGATCAACATGTTAGGCCCGTTTCGTATTTGTGGCAAAGATTGGGTTATATTGCCAAATCTAATTTGTTGGGTTATTTTCTCAATTAACTAATAATTCGGGGGTTGATTTTGAATAGGTCAAAGTTCAAACCCGTCGGGTATAAATAAGAAAAAATCCATCCCTATCTTCATCTTCCCTCTTTAAAATCCCCTCTCTTGTCTCGTCCTTGGAGGCTACGAAAAGCCCTAGCTCCTTCAAAACCACAACCTTTCTTGGTAAGAACGGATTTGATACTCCCCGAGAAATCTAATCCGAAACTACGGTCTCTTTTTTATGTTTCATTGAACAAGAATCTCGTACTGTCCTTTTTTTTCCCGTTTTAGATTGATTGAAAGACCCTGATCCTGACCGATTTCTGTTGTGTTCTTGTTGAATGAGTAGATTCGAACGGCATGGATCCGCAGCCGGAACCCGTTACATACATCTGTGGAGGTGAGCTCCATTGATACTTTGGGAGTTGAATTTCGTTTCTTCCTCCCAAAGCTCAAATCTTTTTGTCGTAAAAGTCCGAGTGGAGTTTCTATTGGAACCCTTAACACTGACAGGACACTGTACACGATTGTGTTTCTGCATAAGTTTGAGATTTTCAGTCTTCGTAGCTCTATTGGGTTTTATTTGCTAAATTTGTCGTTTCTTGTGAGAAAACATGGGAATGGGTCTGCTGTTTTGTAACATAAAGGCCGATCTTTTATTCAGTTCATTTGCTAAATTTGTGGTTTCTTATGAGAAATCATGGGAATGGGTCTGCTGTTTTGTGACATGAAGGCCGATATCTTATTCAGTTCATTTGCCAAATTCGTGGTTTCTTATGAGAAATCATGGGAATGGGTCTGCTGTTTTGTAACGTAAAGGCCGATCTTTTATTCAGCTCATTTGCTAAATTTGTGGTTTCTTTTGAGAAATCATGGTGGTTGGTCTGCTTTTTTGTAACATTAAGGGTGATCTCGCTTGAATCATTTTTCGTTTTGTGACAGATTGTGGTCATGAGAACACGTTGAAGCATGGGGACGTGATCCAATGCAGGGAGTGTGGGTATCGCATTCTGTACAAGAAGCGTACTCGTAGAAGTAAGTTTGGCTTCTTCTGCTTCTCTCTCGTTCTTGTAAAGTTATTGCCTTTCTTGATTGTTGTCTGGCTGTTGTGTGACATTGATGGTTTAATTCTGGGGCTTGGATTTGTCCTGTAGATCAAATTCACCCACTGTTTTTTCATCCTTTTTTGTCCAGAAAAAGTGTTGTATGAGAATTTTGTTGTCTGGGACCATACCTGGATCTAGCCATTCGGGTTCCGAGTGGTGATGAGAAGTCTTCAATCTAACCATGTGATTGTATGTTCTATGCAGTTGTCCAATACGAAGCCCGCTGAGTTACAACCACTCCGAGATTCACTCCGCCTCTCTGTGTTATATATCAACTAGAAAGTCAAATTCCCGAACTTCGTTGCTATATGCTCGGTGTCTGGTTTGATCGCCGTGATCGGGACTGGAACATATCTGTGTTCTGCCTTCAAGAACAGTCATCTCTCTCTTTCACTGTTTACTCTTTTGTTATAAAACCCTATTTAGATCTTTTTCCCGAGAAAAACTGTCAACAGCGTGTTGCATGAGCTCTTATTACCATTGTAAATAAGCGTGGAGCCATTTCGTACACGTTGGTTCGATCAATCTTCTTCGCTTGGCTTCGCTTCTGTCCTTGGAGAGGAAACGTGTGTGTATATGTGTGTGTGTGTGTGTTTCGGTGATTGAGAGTTTGTGATTATTTTTTTTCTATGTAACGTTTTAGAAGCAAATTGAATGTAGAAAAATGGTGGTTGGTCAACGCATTCAGTTTCCGAGATATTATACAAAGAATCTTGAAGATGTCTTAAATTGGAACATTCCAAGGGGACAAAAAAACATCGCACAGGAGAGAGGTTATCTAAATTTGGATAGTTTAACCGGTGAAAAAGAGGTGTAAAACGTTTATATCATCCCAAATTCGAATCTTAAATTTGAAAAGTAAATATATTTCTTATTATATGTCTGCTTTCGACCTCGAAATTAGTCTAGATTTTCGATCTAAAACACTCGGATACTTAAAAAAAAAGTTTACGTATGAAGATTTATTTAATTGTATTCGGAATGTCGAGACTCCGATCGAAGGATTATTCAAAGGTCCAAATTTACATTCGTCTTTGTCTAAATGTAGGGTGCCAACTGTGGCCAAATCCCGTCCGAGTCTGCCTAAAAAATGATCGGTCTTGGGTTTAAATTTATAGATCCCGAAATAAATAGATTTTTGAATCGTGGTCGAATCGGATTTCGGGTTTGTCGGATTAAACCCGATAGACTTCGGGTCGATCCCAAAATCCGAGTTTAAAAAAAATGCGTAAAAAAATTGATTCAAATGGAGAGAAAAAAAAACTGATAACTTTCACAAACCAAACACTCTTACATTAACACAATACATAAATACATATACAAATACACAAACAAATCCTTATCGGTTTCCTCTCAAGATAGATGAATTGAACACTTTCCTCTCTTGTGTTTCAATCCTCTATGCGCTTTGAAACCGAACATAATGATTACAGAAAACCAAACCTTCTGCAATAATCTATACAACACCACGACACTTGCTTTTAAAGACACAATAATAACTTATAGCAGTTACCAAACAACCCACGAAAGTTTATCAACAAAAACTGTAATAAAACCACCGCAAACTGTTCATTCAACTTTCCACGTCATTTTTTTCTTCTGCATCAAGTGGACTTGATCCATAGTTCCAACAGAAACTCTTATCGAACGGACTAGACCGGCCGAATTTTGTAAACCTAAAAGTATTAAGGTCGATCCATACCCGAATCCGATATTCTCAAATTGAGTTCTATATATCTCATTAAGTCATTATGCATAAAATCAGATTTTATCGTCAAGCTAAAAACATAAAAAAAAAATAAAATAAAATTTGTATGAACTATTTCAAACTTAGATTTTTATTTTATGATATTTCATATATATATACAGAAGATAGAGTCTGACATCGAAGAAAAGAGAAGGAAATTGAGCCAAGGTCAACTTGCCAGACGTAAAGATGAGCAGATTCATTACCATTGTAATTTGCATCTGCTAATTAAACTAAACCGGCAAGTCATCCTTGGCTCAAACCCATTCCCTATTCCTCCATGCAAGACTCTCATCATCACCATCACCATCACCATCACCATCATCATCACCATCATCATCACTCATGATCTCTTTATTATTAGCCAAGAGAATTCAGAAGTCTTACTACTTCTCGTGGCAAGTGTAGCTAGAGTCGGGAACGTATTTATAGGCATATATTGCGGGAACGATATTATTATATAAATTTATAGAGATTCCATGCATAACCAAAGGAATTTTGACCATCCTAAAGGATGCGGGCTGACCCTTCCAAATTCGAATAATATTCGTACCACACCACTCGTTGGCATTTGCATCCACGTGTCGGATTTTCCAGCCAAACGCGAATGGAGAATTTTTCATAAACTATCAACTTCGCAAATGGAAAAGGGTCCACGTGAAATTTAACGTCATTTTATACGGTAATTGTGTTAATCCTTGCGACGGATAAGTGTAATATTTCACGTTATTACATGAAAGAGCATTCAATCTTCTACTTTAACTTTTGTGTTTTTCTATAATACACCGGTTTAATTAAATTTATAATATGTGAATCTCCGGTTTGATTCAATGTTTCGGTTTGATTTCTGGTTTAGTTTGTTTATCTATGTTCTGCTTTTTGAATTGATAACGCAGCAGAAATTTATTCTATGATTTCTATCCATTTTCAATATATTAAATATGGAAATTTCTCTTGCAGTATTCATTCAACTATAAAAACATAGTTATTCATATAATTCATATAATCTAAATCTAACCAAATCAAACCAAACTAAACCAGTCTAAAGCGTATAGATTTTATTTTCTGATACATCTCCGTACCATGGATATTTGTGTTGCATGATTTATTTATAATGACTGCAAAAGGAAAATTTATGTAACCCGATAGTTCAACCGGTGAAATGGATGTGTAAAACGTGTGTCTCGTCCTATAAGGAAAGCAGTATATTCATTCCTATGATTTGTAATCTTCTATATCTGTTTCTTTCCTTAGAAGCTAGGTCACACAATATCTCATCCTTCTCCTCCCTCTGTATATATATTGAATGAATGATTGAGTGAATAATACGGCCGCATAAACCCAACTCATATTGAGTTTATATGGTATCAGAGCTTCTCGTGTAATACACAAATCGATCCCTACTCTGTTTCTTCTTCACTACTTGCTAGCTTCATCGCTGCGATCATGTCCGAACCACAAAACCAAACTACTGAAACTGTACCCACGTTTGACACTCGAACCACAGAAAACCCTTGTGGCATGCAACATGACAAACATCACCAAACTCACGTCAAGTAACTACTTTACTTGGAGTGTCCAAATCAAGGCTTTACTTGAAGGACATAATCTGGATGCGTTCATCACAGATTCCTCGGCTGTTCCGTCCCCTCGCCTCCTCATCGATGGCGTCTCCTCTGAAAATCCTGCATTTCACCCACGGAAACAACAAGACAGATTGCTCTTCAGTGCCCTTCTCGGCACACTATCAGTAAGTCTCCAACCCCTCATTGCTAGATCCACTTCTGTCAAAGAAGCATGAAAAACTCTTGCCAATACCTATGGCAAAGCAACCAGAGGCCATCTGCTTCAACTTCGAGAACAGGTGAAACGCAGCACCAAGGGGACTCAGTCAATTGATGAATACATTCGATTCATCCTGGCCAAAACAGAGGAACTGACCCTTCTCAACAAACCCATGGATCATGAGGACACCCTTGAAACGATTCTTGATGGACTACCTGAGGAATACAAATCTGTAATTGACACTGTCAATGCCAGAGACAACCATTTCAGTCGAGGAACTACATGAAAAGTAACTCAATCATGAAGCGAAACTCAATGCAGCGTCACCCATTGTGCAACCAGTGTTCCCTGTTACTGCAAACAACACCAACTTCAGGCCACGACGTCCACTCAACAATCAGAAACAACCAACCCAACACTGGAAAGGAAACTCACCACAGGGGAACTACAAAGGGCGATGTCAAGCATGTGGAACTCAAGGTCATAGCGCCGAGTACTGTCCTGAGTACAGACTTATTTTGGCTGGCAAGAAACCTGACAGAGCTTCCTCTGATTCTCCCCACCAGCATCAATTTTCCAAACCATGGCATGCTTCGTACAATGTCATGCATTCTCAGGGCTATGACAGTACACCTTGGCTGCTGGACAGTGGTGCATCACACCACATCACCTCGGACCTACAGAATCTGGCACTGCATAGTCCCTACCAAGGCAGCGATGATGTGATAGTGGGAGATGGGTCAGGTTTGCCTATTTCTCATCAGGGTTCATTCTCTCTCTCCTTACCCACTCGACATCTATCATTTGATAATGTCCTATGTGTTCCTGATATTCGTCAGAATCTGATATCAGTTCATAAATTGTGTAAAACTAATCACGTCTCGGTTGAATTCTTCCCCGACATGTTTCAGGTGAAGGATCTTCGATCAGGAGCGTGTCTGCTGACAGGAAATACCAAAGCCGGGGTATATGAGTGGCTTGTTCCCTCCTCAACTCCATCCTCTGTAGTTGCCTTCTCCAGCTTAAAGTCAACCCTTTCTGAATGGCACTCACGCCTCGGTCACCTCTCTTTACCTATTCTAAAGCACATTGTCTTCCAAAACAATCTTCCCCTGTCTCGAGTTACTCTCTCGTCCCCGTGTGATTCATGTTTCTGCAATAAGAGTCATAAGTTACCATTCGCTATCTCAACCATCTCATCTTCTCGACCACTAGAATATGTTTTTTCTGATGTATGGACATCTCCTCAAACCTCTATTGATGGCTTCAAATATTATCTCATATTTGTTGATCATTTCAGTCGATACACCTGGCTATATCCCTTGAAACAGAAATCACAAACCAAAGAAATCTTCATCCGATTCAAAGCTCTGCTAGAGAACAAACTCTCAACCAAAATAACCAATCTCTACACCGACAATGGGGGAGAATACATCGCCCTATCTTCTTTCCTTGCCGAAAATGGTATCTCTCATTACACCCCCCACCCACACCCCTGAACACAATAGTCTCTCTGAAAGAAAGCACAGACACGTTGTGGAGACAGGTCTGTCACTTCTCAAACATGCCTCGATCCCAACTGAGTACTGGACTTATGCTTTCACTACGGCTGTGTACCTGATCAACAGGTTACCAACACCTATTCTAAACATGTCCTCACCCTTTCAAACTCTATTTAACTCATCTCCAAACTACTCAAAGCTCAAAACATTTGGTTGTCTCTGCCATCCCTGGTTGAGACCATATTCCTCCCACAAACTTCAGCCTCGGTCGTCACCATGCATTTTTCTTGGCTATTCCAACACTCAAAGTGCATTCCTCTGCTTTGATCCTGTCAAACCCAGAGTATATGTATCCCGTCACGTAATTTTTCACGAGTCAGTTTTCCCCTTTGCATCTCGTCATCTGTTTGTTTCTGAACCCCAACCTCCTCTGCTTCCAGACACTAGCTCTAGAACTCAGGTTTAACCCCATTTCATCCTCCTTGTCAACAACCCCTGTCAGCAACACATTCTGGATCAGACCCTTCACCTTCAAACACTGAGGAAGTCTCAACCTTGCCGAGTGACAGTACACAACACAATTCATCTGGAGAGACGTCCCCTGGTTCCAGTGCTGCTGAAACAAACAGAACACATCATCAGAGTCCCACTGTCGTATCAGATCCTCAACCAACTCAAGATATGCAGAACAGGCATCCGATGGTAACAAGAGGTAAATCAAAAATTACGAAGCCTAACCCGAAGTTTGCCACTGCTATTACAGATCATCAATCAGATACAACTCCATCCACAGTTGCACAAGCACTGAAACAACCTTGTTGGAGAGCCACAATGACTGAAGAATACACTGCCCTGGTTCGAAACACTACATGGGATCTTGTACCATCAGATCAAGCTACAAACGTTGTTGGCTGCAAATGGATTTTCCGAATCAAGCACAAACCAGACGGAACTGTAGACCGCTACAAAGCCAGACTTGTGGCGAAAGGGTTTCTTCAACGTCCAGGCATAGACTATCACGAAACGTTCAGTCCAGTGGTTAAACCTGCGACAATGAGACTGATCTTAAGCATTGCCATCTCCAACAACTGGCAAATCAGACAGCTTGATGTGAATAACGCATTCCTACAAGGGAACCTCTCTGAAGATGTATTTATGCAGCAACCTCCTGGGTTTGTCGACCACAATCTCCCAACACATGTCTGCAAACTGAATAAAGCTATTTACGGTCTGAAACATGCCCCTCGTGCATGGTACTCTGCTCTCAAAGCTCATTTCCTGCAATGTGGTTTTGTCAATTCCCTGACCGATGCATCTTTGTTCATCTACAGACGGAACACCACTCAGCTTCTGGTGTTAATCTATGTGGATGACATACTAGTAACGGGCTCAACTCCCTCTGAAATCACAGGCTTCATCCACACTCTGTCAGCCACATTCTCACTCAAAGACCTTGGCCCTCTCAGCTACTTCCTCGGAGTGGAAGCAGTTCGCACTCCGCAAGGGCTATTCCTCAACCAGAGGAAATATATCTATGATCTCTTGCACAGAACTCAGATGCTTGAAGCCAATCCAGTGTCCACACCGATGTCATCATCTGCCAAACTGTCACTGACTTCTGGTTCACCTCTCCCAGATCCATCTGAGTTTCGACAGGTCATAGGCAGTCTCCAATATCTTGCTCTCACCCGGCCAGATGTGTCCTTTGCAGTCAACAAGCTTGCACAATTTATGCACAAGCCCATGGATGAACATTGGATAGCTGCAAAACGGATCCTCAGGTATCTTGCCGGGATCAAGGACAAAGGCATTTCTCTCCCTGCTCACAACTTTGTTCAGTTACACGCCTTCAGCGACGCAGATTGGGTCGGCGACAAATCTGACTTCAAATCGACGGGAGCATACATTGTATATCTGGGAAAACATCCCATCTCTTGGTCCTCTAAAAAGCAGAGCACGATCTCACGATCCTCCACAGAAGCAGAGTACAGGTCGGTAGCAAACACGTCTGCTGAAGTTAGCTGGCTGATGAATCTCTTGTCCGAGATCGGCGTCAAACTTCCCCAACCACCAGCTATCTATTGTGACAACCTTGGCGCAACGTACCTGAGCGCAAACCCAGTGTTTCACTCTCGAATGAAACACTTAGCTCTAGACTACTTATTTGTTCAAGACCAAATTCAGTCTGGCAAACTCCGGGTATCACATGTCAGTGCACGAGACCAGTTAGCGGACATCCTCACTAAACCACTCCCTCGCCAAGCATTCAATCGTCTCTGTACCAAGATTGGAATCACTGCAGGTGCTTCATCTTGCGGGAGGGTATAAGGAAAGCAGTATATTCATTCCTATGATTTGTAATCTTCTAGATCTGTTTCTTTCCTTAGAAGCTAGGTCACACAATAGCTCCTCCTTCTCCTCCATCTGTATATATATTGAATGAATGATTGAGTGAATAATACAGCCCCATAAACCCAACTCATATTGAGTTTATACGTCCCGAATTCGAACATTAAATTTGGAAAGGGAGCGTATAATTCAAAGCACATGGTTGGCTTGCGGTCCCGAAATTAGTTTGGATCTTGGTACATGATACCCGGTTGCCCAAAAAAGAGAAAAATTTACGTAAATTCATAGGCTTTAATTTATATAGAAAATCAATATTATAAGTTATGTTTTGGATGATGTCCACGGTTCGTACTTCTCGTGTCATCTTTTTTTAGATAACCAGTATGTTCACCGGGGATTTGATTCACTTAATTCTCGTGTCATCTTTATATACTTAGATACTTAATAATCGTTGCCCCAAATGAATTCATTCATTGGCAAATATATTTTTAAAAGAACCATGGTTTCTTAATCTTGATTAGACCATCTGTCCTTTGGATTGATGTTCTGATCTTGTAATTTTAACCAAACGAGTTTCTCGAATTAACTATCTAAAAATACTCTAGATATTCGACCCATTTTTTTAAAATTAAAAAGACATAAAATAATTTAAAACTGATTTTCTGAGAAACTATGTAATTAACATATTTATCTTAAAAAGACAAAAAGAAAACATATAAATCTTCAATAAGGGTACAAATCAGTACGTCGAAATAAATTTAACAGGCAGATTTCGTTGCATGGAAACGAGAGAGGGATTCTCTTTGCCTTCTTTTTTGCGTGGATAAATGGAATAAAGCTAAGATGTTCGAGAATGGTCATCACGGTGGGAATAGAATATATATATATGAATGTGATTTTGGATATGGACTTTAATATTGTGAAATTCAAAAAAATAAATTATTATTTTCATTATAAATGGGGCACACAGACATGTGGTTCCATGGTTACACATTGACCTTTTTTTTTTCTTTCCGAAGAGACTCGTAGTTTCGTTCAATGCATAGGCATCGAATTTTAGAATAATGTTTGGTAATTATGTTTTTTCCTTTCTATCTTTCGTGGGTCAAATTTAATCAGCTGCTTTATCCTCCAAAAAAAAAATCCAATGGAAATACTATATAATATAAAGTTTTCATACCTTCTTCATGTATCATAACTTAGAATCCTACCGCAAACAAATTTTTATAAGAAAATATTATACAACTTTAGGTTTGTCACAATATAATTGGTTAATAATTCTAAATCAATTGAAAAGTTCTTTACCTTCACAAAGCTTTTAATATATAAAGTAACTGGGATGGGATACCATATTGTATATAGGTTTGACAAGAGTTATAAGCTTATCCAAAGGTCACACTCGTATAGTTCTCCTCGCATGGTGATCTAGGAAGCGGACCGTTAGGGCAAACAATTTTACTCAAAAGAAAAAAGAAGAAGAAGAGTTTTTTTGGTTAATAACTCCTTATTAAAGAGATGTATTTATAATTCATATGTATATATATATATATATATATATATATATATATATATATATATATATATATATATATATATACATTTTTTTTTTTTT